TTGACAATGACTTTGACCTTTAGTAACAACTAAGGAAATTCAACACTTTCAGTGGAGGCAGGTGCAGGAGGAACAACAGTGTCATCTTCACAGTCTGATTCATTATCTGGAATGTGAACATCCACTTCTGCTGCTGCATCTGGCTCACGCTCAGAGGGTTTAATGTAGGCTGATGATGGCTTGAGAACTGACTGACCAATAATGTTGATCAAATGAGCAAAGCAGGACATGTGCTTGTCAGCTCCAAATTCTTCTCACACTGCTCCTTTGATATTCGCCCCGCCGTCCGTGACGATGACTTGTACCTTATCCTTCGTGATGCCCCACATTTCACAAATATCTCTCATGACTGAGCGGAGATACGAAATCGTCTTGCGTTCCGTGAGCGGCTGAGCGCAAAGCTCAATAGAGCGTAGAACTCTCCTCTTAGTAGGCAACACTGGAAAAGAGCAGTATCTCATTAAACTACATCATTGAGATAAAATGCGGAGTGCTGAGGCTCAGTATACAAGACTCACCTTTCACGTAGTGTGCTGTCACGCCGAGCGAACTTCTCATTGTGCTCTTCTGAGTCCAAATGTCCATTGTCAAGCTGAGGCCCTCTGTCTTGCTCATCTCGTCGCAAATAATTCCCTTGAGCACTTCTTATTTAGAGGTTAGGAGCGCCCGCACAGTCGGTTCGGAAGGGATCTTGTACATAGGCTGTACCTTCTTCATGAATAACTTGAACCCCTCCTTCTCAACGAAGCTGAGCGGGAGCTTCTCTGAGGCCACCATGAACAACAGCGCATTCGTTATCTCGGCATCCCGGTGTCCCCCTGCTGTAAAGCACAGAAAGCAGAAAAAAGGTTTCAGAAGAGAAAAGTAAACAGCGGTGACAACAGGTAGAAACGCCGAGGCAATACTCACGAGCGAATGAAGTAACGTTATTGATGCAACGTTGAAATGGGCCCGAAAATGGGCGAGATCTTGGAGTGCTGATGTTGTTGCTAGATCGAGGAGTTGTGGGTGTTGTCGGCGTCGGCGTAGCCGCGGCGCTGCTGCCGGCCTGCATCGGAGACTCAATTAAAGTCAAAGCAAAATAAAGCGAGGCGGGGTGGGTGCCGACGCCGTAAACATTTCAAATCTCACTTCACTGCTCAGGTCGCCGTCGACGTCCTCCTCTTCTCGTAAGGATGAGGAGGGTGACTGCTGAGGCCCAAGCCTTGAAATCCGCCCACCGCGTCGAGGGAGATTAACACCGTGGGCAGAAGCGACGTGTTGAATCAAGGTGGACGTCCCTCCCCCGACACGGTGGGTGAAGCGGCGCTCGCATTTTCTGCAATACACTTTTCCACTTGCGTTCGGCAAGCGGGAGAAGTAGTTCCAGACTGCGCTGATGCCTCCCATGGCAACGATAAGCAACGGCTACGTTCACACTCGATACTTAACAGGTGTCACTGACCACTGACCTGACCCACAAAATTTGACTCGAAACTGAAGCTGAAGACTGAATGAGAATGAGATCAGCTGATGTCAACAGCTCACGAGGCCGGCGGCGCGGCGCTCAGAGCGTGCTGTGATCTATCGGCAAGAAAATGAACCACCGCGCTGCAGACAGCGCCAGCGGCTCGCGCTTGGACTCGGCTCGGCGCTCGGCGCTCGCTCGGCTCGGCCCAGCTCGAGCGCGCTGCGCAGTCTGTAGCGAGGCGGAGACCCAAGAGCACCGGCCACGACGAAGCGTTCAATCGCCTCTAAAACTTACTATCGAAAAAAAAACAACAAAAAAAAACCGGTTTTTTTAGCAGTTTAGGCCGGTTTTACGGTTTTAACCGATTCCCTTGGCCGGTTCGAAAAAACCGTTTTTTTTTCTTCATCAGACCGGTTTTTGACCGAAACCGGTTACAAACCTACCATCCCTAATATGGTGGATAAGCCATTATCCTTAGGAGCTGTTCTTTCTGAGCTTTATTCATGCTGGTGTCCTTCTTAGGGGCGTTACTGTAAGTCGACCTAAAAGGAGTAGCTGGAACAAAATTATAATTGTTATCCCAAGAAACTACCAAAGTCAACGCCCCAGATAAACTAATATACAGAGAAATAAGCTATTGATTAATATTAGAACAAAGTATCTGGTTTGACCTTTGAAAAGGAATAATGTCCAGGTCCCTTATCTATGGTTATGTCTGAAGAAACAACAATGAAAACATATTGAACGAGTGTACAGAGGGCACCAGTAAGTGCTTTGCTAGACCAGTTGGTAAGGATAGACTACTGCTATGGATTTAAAACATGTCACCCAAGCACATCTTGAGGCCCAAAACCTCAACGAGTTTCAGTCCTTAAGGCTAATTGACCATTGGAAATCTGGTTGCCACCTGGAAAATTCAAGTAAGAAAACTGAAGAACTGGACAGGCCTTAACACCCAGTTATAAGTCTTTAAAATC